ACTTTAAAACATAGCGCCTTCTGCTGCATTTTTCTACTGAGCACTTGTCAGTTTCACATGGTTTTATTTCTGATAGCAAGGAGTAGCTAGCCTAGGCTAGCGCTAGCTTAGCATTGCTATGGCTTCTCTCTCTCACTCCCTTGACTCTTTTCCAACTCTTCATTCTTCCTCTCCTCTCTCCTGCTCTCTGTGTCAGATGTTCAGTTATTCCTCTGCCTCCTTTAGTGATAATGGGATGTGTAATAAGTGTAGTATTTTTGTAGCTTTGGAGGCGAGGGTATCAGAGTTAGAATCCAGGCTTCAGGCTGTTGAACACTCAGGACTTTAAGTAGGCCACCCACGTAGCTGTCCTCCGAAAGTGCCTGAGCAGCCAGGCGATTGGGTAACTGTACGCAGAAAGCGTAGTCGTGGATCTCTGCCCACTGGTCACCACCAACCCGTTCACGTTTCTAACCGGTTTTCCCCACTCAGTGACACACCCACTGAGAAGCCCAGTGGGTGTGTCACTGAGTGACACACCCACTGGGCTTCTCAGTGGGTCACTGAGTGACACACCCACTGGTGATTGTCAGCTCCATAGTCAGAAACGTGGCATTAGAGACACCAGGGACCATAGTCAAATGTTTGCCGGGGGCCAGAACGGGCAACATCAAATCCTACCTGAAACTACTTGCTAAGGATAAGGTTAAATACAGTAAGATTGTTATTCACGCTGGTGGTAATGACACCCGGTTACGCCGATCGGAGGTCACTAAAATTAGTGTTGCTTCGGTGTGTAAGTTTGCAAAAAAAATGTCGGACTCCGTAATTTTCTCTGGTCCCCTCCCTGATCTGACCAGTGATGACATGTTTAGACGCATGTCGTCATTCAACCGCTGGTTGTCTAGGTGGTGTCCTGAAAACAACGTGGGCTACATTAATAATTGGCAATCCTTTTGGGGAAAGCCTGGTCTGATTCGGAGAGACGGCATCCATCCCACTTTGGATGGTGCAGCTCTTCTTTCTAGGAATCTGGCCACATTTATTAGTCCTCCAAAACCCTGACCACCCAGGGTGCAGACCAGGAAGCAGAGTTGTAGTTTAACACACATCTCTGCAGCTTCTCTACTGTTACCCACTCTTTTCTCCATCCAGACAGTGTCTTGCCCACGACCAAAATCTAATAAATTAGGAAATATTCCCAAAGGAGTAAATCATGATAATCTAATTAAAATCAAAATAACTCAAATTGGGGAAAAAGTTAAAACAATTAAATTTGGTCTGTTTAACATAAGATCTCTTTCCTCTAAAAGTCTGCTAGTTAATGACTTGATTTGTGATAATTACATTGACTTGTGCCTTACAGAAACCTGGCTGCAGCAAGAGGATTATGTGAGCATAAATGAGGCAACTCTTTCAAGCTATTTAAATTTTCACATACCCAGAAGTTTTGGGCGAGGAGGAGGAGTAGCAACAATCTTCCAGTCTGACTTACTGATTACTCCCAAAACAGTTAATACCTACAACTCTTTTGAACATTTAACCCTTAATTTCCCTGATCCAAATTTCAAAGCAAGAAAACCTCTTCTTTTTGTAACTTTGTATCATCCACCAGGACCTTACTATGAATTTTTAGATGAGTTTTCAGAGTTCCTTTCTGATTTGGTATTAAAAACTGACAGGGTCATCATAGTGGGAGATTTTAAACATCCATGCTTATATTAAAGGCGATAGCTTAAGAGCAGCTTTTAATGCTATCTCAGACACTATTGGCTTTGTTCAATATGTGAATAGTCCCACACATTCTCATCTTCATACTTTGGATCTTGTGCTGACATACGGCATATAATGTGAAGAAATAACACTATTTCCTCACAACCCTGTCCTCTCTGACCACTTTCTAATAACCTTCAGGATTAGTTTAACAGAGTTCTCCTCCCCCAAAAGAAGGTTACATTTTAGTAGATCTTTATCAGATAGTGCAGATTTACATTTTAAAGAATCTGCTTCACTTTCTCTCTCCTCTGTGTCGCTGAGGAGTGCTGCAGAGTGCAAAAGCATAGCTTATTCCCCTTCACAGGTTGATGATTTTGTTGATGGGGTTGCTAGTTCTCTGCGTATTGCCTTAGACAACGCAGCTCCTTTGAAAATAAAAACTGTTAAAAATAGAAAGCTTACTCCTTGGTTTAATGCAGAGCTGCGCACTTTGAAGCAAAATGCTAGGAAACTGGAGAGAAAACATCGCTCCACAGACCTGTGGGAGTCCTTCCTAGTCTGGAAAAATAGTTTACTGCTGTATAAGAGGACCCTTTGTAAAGCAAGAGCAGCATACTTCTCCTCATTAATAGAGGAGAATAAGAATAATCCTAGATTTCTTTTTGATACAGTTGCCAAACTCACCCAGAGCCATAGCTCTGTTGAACTGTCCATTCCACCTGCTCTTAGCAGCAATGATTTTATTGGATTCTTTATAAATAAGATTGATCTTATTAAAAATAAGATCATAAGCACTCCTCTATCCGCCATTGTACCTGAGGTAGTCATGGAATCTGAAACAGGTTTAGACTGCTTTGATCCAGTTGAACTTTCTGAGTTAGCAAAATTATTGTCTTCATCTAAGCCTTCAACTTGTATGTTAGATCCAGTTCCAGCCAGGTTATTTAAGGAGGTATTCCCTTTGATCTCCTCCTCCATTTTAGATGTGATTAATCTATCTCTGTTACAGGGATATGTACCTAAGGCTTTTAAGGTTGCTGTAATTAAACCTCTGCTTAAGAAACCGTCTCTTGACCCAGATGACTTGGTCAATTATAGACCTATATCAATCTTCCTTTCTTATCTAAAATTATTGAGAAAGTAGTTGCCAAACAAGTTTGCGATCACTTACACCATAATGAACTTTTTGAAGAGTTTCAGTCTGCTGTCTAATCAGTAGAATGATTAGACAGCATGGGATTAATTTTCACTGTTATGCTGATGATACCCAGCTATATCTGTCTATAAATCCAGATGAAGCTAACCCATTACATAAATTACAGGCATGTCTTGAAGAGATAAAAACCTGGATGACTCTTAACTTTCTCCTTCTGAATGCAGACAAAACAGAAGTTATAGTCTTTGGACCAGAGTCTTTGAAAAAGAAGCTGATTAGTCAGTCACTTCATTTGGATGGGATTAAACTGATTTCAGATAATAAAGTAAAAAATCTTGGTGTTATTTTTGATCAGGACCTGTCATTTAAATCCCATATCAAAGAGGTTTCTAGAATTTCCTTCTTTCATCTGAGGAATATTGCAAAAATTAGAAATCTCCTGTCCAGGGGTGATGCTGAGAAACTAGTCCATGCATTTGTTACTTTAAGGCTGGAGTATTGTAATTCTTTACTATCAGGAAGTCCACAAACTGTAGTTAAAAGCCTTCAGCTGATCCAAAATGCTGCAGCCAGAGTTCTGATGAAAATTAAAAAGAGAGATCACATCTCTCCTATCTTGGCTTCTCTTCATTGGCTTCCTGTTAAATCCAGAATAGAGTTTAAAATCCTCCTTCTCACATATAAAGCCTTAAATGGCCAAGCTCCATCTTATATCAGAGATCTGATTTTTCCTTATGTTCCTAACAGAGCACTTCGCTCTCAATCTGCAGGTTTACTAGTGGTTCCTAGAATTTCTAAAAGTAGAATGGGAGGCAGATCTTTTAGTTATCAGGCTCCTCTCCTGTGGAACCAACAACCAGTTTTAGTCCCAGAGGCAGACACCCTGTCTACTTTTAAGGCTAGGCTTAAAACTTTCCTTTTTGATAAAGCTTATAGTTAGGGTGGCTCAGGTTCTATCTCTATAGTTATGCTGCTATAGGTTTAGACTTTTGGAGGACATAGGGACCCCCATTTCATCATTCTGCTTCATTCTCTCTCTGTTCTCCTATTCTGCAGAATCTGTTAGTTCAATCTCTAAAGTTCTGCTCTCTCTGCTTTTCCTCAGAGCAGCTTTACCTCGTCTTTTCCTGTTTGGCTTTGACGCCATCCTGGAAAGAAACATCAGCTGTGCTGCTTCCATCAACACCCTTGTTTATAGATGCTAGAGATTGGCCTGTGTGGTCCTGTTTCTCTGACCATGACTGAGGGGATGTGCTCTCTTCGTCATCTGCATGGGAGCTGGCTCGGAGCTCGTCTGCCTGGCAAGAATCTCTGACCCAACCAAATAGGCAGAAGCTATAACTATTATAGTGATTAATACATAAATCTAATATATTTTTATATTTATTTCTCATCTTATGGTTTTTTTTTGGTCAGTACATCCACTAAAATTACCTGTGAGACAACTTTCCAAAACCGGCAAACTGCTTGTTTTTGCAGCCAAATGTTACACATGTGGGCATTTTTACTGTGCGTCTCCATGGGAGTAGCAGCATGGCGGACGGTGGCTTCACTTTTTTCAAACAATCAGCAATCCAGTGAATAAATAGAGATCAGTGAGTGTAACCAATAACTAGAGCCCCCTTGTGTTGAAACTGAAAACTGTTTTTGGACTCAACAATTATTCTTTTCTCATTATTAGTTTTAACTTCAGACTTTAAATAGAGACCATTTTTGCTTCTTTTCTTAAACATAAACACTGACCTTGACTGATCTTAATTAAACCTCTAGAGTCTAATGTTTTGTTCTGCCTTCCTTGAATTATGAATTTTACTGTGGTTACTGAGAAAAGGGGATGAGAACAGTTCCTGAGAACTGTCAATAGCTCAGCTTTTATTAGGTTTTAAAAGGTTTTATTTATGATGTGTTTAATTATATCTGGGTGTCCCCAGTTAAAAAACAAAACAAAAAAAACAGATGACCCCAAAAATATTACCTAAGTTACTTAATGATGGTAATTAGAATTTCTTGGGAATCATCCAGAGGGGACTGGGCATTAACCAATAATGATCTTACATTTTTGAGATGATTACAAAACATAATCAGATCATAAATATTCTGAAGTTACAGTAAAAAAGACACTAAAGTAATAGAAGACAGACACGGCAACTGTTTTAACATGTTATATTTTAATTTCTGCAGAGACAAAAATGACAAGCAATTTATTTACACAAACCTGTACAAAAGCAAATTAAATTATGCAAAATATCTCATAAATAGAAGTGGACTTGCGTTCAATACACTTTTGCCATGTTCAGCTAAGCTGCGTGCATAGTGACTCATATTAAACGATGATAAATTTGTTCCTCAAATTTCTCTATATCAACATCCATGTCGCAGGACAAATAGTAATGGGTAATATTACAAATCTCATTACACGCTGTGAATGTTTTTTTTAAACAGAGACGAGAGCACCCGCTGAACGCACACCTCAGGCAGACGAGCTTCATGCTTCGTGTGAAATGTGAAAGAATCTCAACACCTGCTCTTATCTTGGGTTCGATATCCGTTGCCTCAGTGTATCAAACCAAAAAGAGAAACACTGAACCTATCATTTCTCAGAAAAGATGTAGAGTAGATTGTTTTTGATGTTTTTGCCCATGTATAGCAATCTTCCTTTCATGTATTTTCGTTTACACCCTGTCAGAAGCTCTGTTTTCATTTTATCTGATGTTGAAATATAAAAAAACTATAAAAAATTACAACATCATAGCATATCCTCCAGCAAAATCATATGTAGGACAAGTATTCATCACCATCATCTACAGATATGCAAGCTCTGTCAACCTGTATGTTTTATTCCACACAACATATCCTGAGGTATGCATTCTGGCAGGCCTCTCCTATTCCCTTCTCCCTATCTTTTCCTTCTAGTAAACCATCGTATTAGCATTTTTATCCCCTCGACTTTTGAGCAATCAAATGTACTTCTGAATTTTCATTCCCTTACCAACTTTCTCTACCTTGTAGATTCGGCTCTAGAGCTTTTGTTTCATGCACAAAGTAGGTTACTTGACCTCTGCTGTCACACATGTACATGAGCGGAACACGACAACAAAAAATTCAATAGATCTTTTCCACCAGCAAGCAACATTGCACCTGTACCTGTATTTATTTTGTAATAAACTAAGGATGCACTAAGGAATGGGTGTTTCAACAATATAACTGATTCAGTGTGAAGAACAGCCTTTTAAATTATTAAACCTTAAAAGCTCACTGTTATTTGACAAGTCATCCTTTAAAAAAAAAAAACAAACAGAAACAAAAATCTTTGACATCATGGGATTTCATCAAAGATATGCAGATGACTTTCAGTGCTTAAATGCCAACCCCATCTCCTTGTCAGTGTGATTATTTATGCACCATTCCAAACCAACATTTAATCATACCAATTGGTATAAAAGGCACAATTGCATATTTGCATTCACTCAAATTTTGTTTTTGTTTTTTTTGTTTTGTTATTTTTGTTTGTTTTTCCCCCTTTTTTTCAGAAGCACTCGCAATATACAAAGTGGCACCAGATAAAGAAGGAAAAGAAAAAGTGAAACACAGTACATCGTCGTAATCTTTTGCACAATTCTATCTGCAACTGTGTGACTTATTATTTAACGGATTAAAACAATAAGATACATGACAAATGGTCTACTCTAATGGTATACAGCCGTTTTATATATATATATATATATATATAAAAAAATAATAATTTGTGACATGATATAATTGTAGAATTTGGTCATGGGTGGAAGAAAAAAAAACAGATCAGTCGTAATTGGTGTACAAAGTCGCATTACATGGGTAAAATGCAAGCAACAAGATGGGCTTCTGTTTACAAGAGAAACATTTTTTTTATTTTGTTCATTTTATTTTGCATTTTTTTTGTTGTTTTTTTTTTTACTTCCTTTAAGTGTAAGTTGCCAGTAAACGTGCAGTAAAAAGTAAATATTCATGTATACAGTTGATAAGTATTAGGAGCACTTTCTTTCAAACGACGAGTAGTACTTACAGACTATAGATTGCCAGAGCTGGTTTTCAGAAAGAACTGTAAAAACACCTCTGGTTGCACCAAAGGGGGGTTTTGCTTGAATACAAAAAAACAAAACAATGCTTTCATTGCATCTCTTTTTTAATTACAGTAAGTATTGTGCCTCTGTAGCTGCAAAAAAAAAAAAAATAGAAAAGAAAAACAACAGGGAGGCACAAAATCTCAACGACATTTGTAGAAATAGTAGGGTTATGATTGTATGGGTTGTTAAGTTGAGACATCACAATCTTATCGCTCATTCCTTCACAAAACAAGTAATGCATACTTAAAGCAAAGTTCTCAGAGAAAGCTTTTTCATTTGCGGGTAATCGTCCTGTTTGTGAATTTTTGGTTTGACTTCAACTGCAAAATTTCTCCAAACATATTTAAAACTTGCTTTTGTTTTGTTTGATTGTTCCGCTAACTGAGCCAATTTTACATTCAGTGTAAAATAAAGCAACAGCTACAAGCGCTTAAAGGATTTCAATGTATGGGCGTTGTGTAATCTTGAAGGCTTTTTAGCGAAGAGTGAAAAACAAGGTATCTGCCACGCTTACTTCATGATATTTATTGCTGTCCTAACACACACACACGCACACACACACACACACACAAATGAAAGTAAGACATTTAATTTCTGTTAACTTTTCCAGTTCCAACTCAACCATATATTCTCAACTCTCAACAGCTACAGACTTCAAATGCATATCAAGAATTTAAATATCTTGCCAAAACTATGTGCTAAACCCAACTTGGAACCAATAAACACAGTTAAACTCACCAGTTTGTATAATCTTCTTACTAAGGTGATCTGATAATAAACCATGCTTTCAAGGGAATGTGATTGTAGACATAAAGTATCTTGCATCATTAAGGATGGGATTTGTCCCAAACTTCGGAATCAAAAGATAAAACAGCAGGAGACTGTGTAAAGGTAGCAGGGCAGAAGTTGAGGGACGGAGCTGCTGGCTCTGTTGCTATCCTCGAATGCTTATTTACAATGAGTGACACTTGCGTAAGTTGTTCACGGGTTTGTGTCAATCATTACAAGTTCATCATTTGTCTCAGTGGAGTTTTAGTCCAGCCAGGAGTGTCCATTGTGTTCTTACACAAGAGTATCAGTGTTGTGAAGATGATGGAGTTCTTTTTAAAGCTTAGTCTTTCCAGTTCCTTATATGACCCAATTTCAGCCAGGTGTTGATTTGCAAGTCAGTTGCACTCTAAAGATGAATGCCTCTACAGCCAGTATGGTTACAGTATACAGTTGTTTTGTGTAGCCAAAGGGCATCTTGGCCAGACTGTTATGAATTATAAAAAAAAAGGCTAAATCAAGACAGACTCCAAAGTCAAAACGTTCTAAGTACTTTTTACTTCCAGAAAACAAAAGACAAGGGGAAGAAAGAAATTGGCGTATTTGTACAGTGTTCTGTTTAAAAACAGTAGTTCCTTCTGTCGGGAATACTGGAGTAGTCATGCGTGTGCTGTATGTCTAAAATGAGTTTATTAGCTTTACAGATGGACTATCAGGCAGCAGACTGTCTCCAAACAGGGAGACTCACCATTAGGTTCTCCTCCTCTTCTCTGCCAGGTCATCATCATAATTAGCACTTTTAAAAGAAAAAAAAAAGTTCTGTCTATTCAGAGGTTTTGTTAAGGAGTAGCTTTAATGTCTTTGGAGAGGTTTAGTCGAAGTTTGGGTGGCTGACAAAAAAAAACTTCTAAAACAGCAATCAGTACGGGTAAGAAACTATCCTTCTCAATACATTATGATGCCATTGGTGTTGTGGGAAAGCTCCGAGCTTACAGGTACACCTCCCGTCGTGTCAGAGTTCCACAGGACGTGGGCTTGTACTCTCCAGTTGGTGCGAGGGGGATCTCCTCGGTAGGGTGGCCCAGCATCTCCTCGCCACCTCCTGGCGAGCCATAGGACGGAGAGCCAAAGGCCTCATAAGAAGAAGAGGAGGAGGCCATCTTCTTGTTTAGCAGGTTTCGGTTGCGGTCTCCCATCATGTGCGTGGCTGCTGGATCTCCGTTGGCCATGGCAGCCATGGCGAGGGTCTCTTGGCTACCTGGCTGCTCCACACTCCCGCTGCTGCTGCTGCTGCTCCCGCTGCTACCATTGCCGGTCATGAAAGTGGAAAGCTTTGGTTGTTGTTGGGGGTTGGTGGTTGACTTAGACGGCCGTCGCTCGGGCGACGTGCGCACAGGCATCCAGCAGGAGTCCGAGTGGCCGTACTCGTTGCACTCCCGGGTGCACTTGCCAGTCATGGCTACGTCAGGCAAGGGCCGGGAGTCTAAAGGAAGACAAACAGAAGAAAAGTTTTTATGAGCACAATGTATATAAACAATGTTAACCAATTTATATTATGATCTTACTTTACTCTACTGTTGTGGCATATGTAATTAGTTACATATTTTATATAACTAATTTTGTGTGTTTTTTCTCCCCTAATGAGGTCTTTATCACATCTAAATGTTTATAAGTAGGGCAAAAAAGAAGATAATACTAGTCATAATGGTTAAGCACACATGTTTACTGCTGTCTTAATACTACTTAATAAAGCACAGCTCTCACAAACAAAACTGCATTTACTTTCATGCAGAACCCATACCCCATGATAGCAAGAGTAATAAAACAAAAACAACAATGAATAGAAGACGCTACTAGCTACAACAAAAGCCTTAAACTAAAATAAATTAGTAAACAAAAGAAACAAAAAACTGTGACATGAATCAGAGTTGAAATAATGCCATGCTTTAAAACACATTTGTGCTCAAAAGGGAAGGGATTGGGGCACAGTGGTGGAAAGAAGGAGGAGAGGTCAGTTGGCGTTTTCAACTTGTCATCATATAAGATTTAAGATCCACCAGGAATGCTCACTTTGTGCCAGATGGTAACACAACCAACACCCTGTTTTGCTCTTTTCCAAATGATTCTTTTTGGCTGATTGACAAACGACAATCACGCTCTCATCTAAGTAGCTTAATAGCTTTAAGAGGCTCAAGCGCTCATATATCCTCTTAAATCCACTATTAGGTTGCCTTTACCGATTACCTATCCTAGTGCTAGTCTTAGATTAGCAACGTCCTCTGCATTACTGCAGAAAGTAAATTATGTGCTTATGATGCTTTGCCAGCACAACCCGCTAGCCTCTCTCTCAGATCATGGAATGTGAGATAAATATTTCAAGCTGATAAGGGTGCAGATAGTTTCGACCATTCGTTTAATAAAAAAAAGGAAGAAACAAGGTAGTCTTTCCCACAGCCTCAATCCTTTAAAATTAGACATAGCTGGAGGAGTTAGGGGGAGTGCTGCGATGCCATGTGCTGATGATCTTATGATGCAAACTATGGAAAAATATAATCAAGCAAAAGCGAGGATCAGTACAAACCAAATCGAGCATGCCTTGGCTCAAAAGACAAAACAAACAAACAAAAAACAAAAGAAAGGGTTTGGACCATAGCTTACTTTTAATGATCTTTATCTCCTGCAAAAGAAACAAATATAAATCAATTTTATTTTATTTTTTTTTCTGGAATATGAAATGGGCAGAAAAGATTTGTTGATCACATCATTGAATTCAAAAAAATTAAAGAACACATGAGGACTATGGACATAAAACAGCCAAGACAAGAACAGTAAAGTAAGAGAAGACAGGAAAAGGGAAAGGAAATCCAGCTAGGTTCATTCACACTAAGTATTTAAGTATTACTAGATCAAATGTAAATGTTATGTCAAGAGTGCCATTCTTTTTTCCCCTGCTACTTTGAATCTTTGCTTACTATTAGAACACTATGGCCACTAATTACTGAAACACTTTTTTGGCTGATTAGCTTATTCAAAACCTAAAATATAGATATATATGAAAAGGGAGGCAAGAAGAAAACAAACAAAATATGACTGCAGTGACAATTAATATGGCAGCTGATGTGATGAGAATGACAAGTGTGGCTTTGAATCACAGCATGCCTCTCCCGCCTTTTTCTCTCCGCTTTAGCTTGACAAGTCAGGCCGTCAACAAGATAGCAAGTGGATAGCAAGTACACACTGCCTTGCCCCCCCTCCTTTTTTATGTTTTTTAACTTCAGCTATTGAGCCGTCAGGCTGCTCGCAATGCACAGAATCTCTCTTGGGGGCCATATATGCCCTGCTCCTGAAACTCTAATAATTTTGCACACCTCTAATCGTATTCAGACAAAGAAGGAAGCATGCCTAGACAAGCAACCTTTAGCACCCCATCTCTGCTTCTTTCCACAGTTATACTCATAGGTAAGGTAGCTAGCTCTCTGCATGTTGTTCACTCTGATAGAAAAGTGATTTCCAAGTGATTTCCTACTGACTCAGCAGGCCTGCAAAATTGAGGAGATTCCCCACTGGGTAAATGAATTGGCCAGCTATTTGAAACATAAAAAGTCATATTTTTTCTCTCTCTCTCTCTTCATGTTTTCCACTGTTCTTTCCATCTAAGTTCAGATCATTATTGTTGACACTTGACTTTGCTAGAGCATGATATTGCATGCACCTATTCTAAGTAGTGTTAGTATAATTAAACATCTCCAGCTCCTATAAGATTTTTCAGACAATTATAGACAATATCATAGATACAGCAGATCATTCTCCACATCTTATTCTACTGTACATCTAGTGTCGTTTGAACTGTTCTTTGCATGTTTTGGTTCATTAGATGTTCCCACCTGTATTGACTAATGACAGCATTAGACTTATTACTTGAATTTGTTCTGAAAAATAATTCCCAATAAAGAATTTCTATCTTATTTTGTTTAAAACAGATTTCAAACAGATTTCTATTTTAAGAAAAACTATTTAAAATAAAAGAAAATCATATAGTTAATCCCACTTGTAATATCACTACCTGTTTGTGATGAGAAGTGTTTCAAAAATTTGGATCAGAATGTAATAAACAAACAAGCAAAATTTGTATTATTATTATTAATATTATTATTCTCAGTTATTTTTTCATACATGTTATTTTTCAAGAGAAGTAATGGGACATTTTAGGTTTAGAGAAAAAAAACTACAGGTTATAAAAATCTCACAATTTAGATTTCTAATCTATCTAATCTGATTTTGATCACAAAAAAACATATTTAATATATAGTTTTTATTTTATTTAACAAAAAGATCAGATAACACTTTTAACTTGACTATCGATGACAAACTATGAAAGCAAAAATACAAATGGAGAGGTTTATCTGCTGTAACTAAGATAGTAACTTCACCAGGTTTTGTAGGAGGACTAGCATTTTTAAATAAGGAACTAGCTGCCTCTAGAAGGCTAAATATGGTTAGCACTTTAAATCTAAAAGTAAAAAAGAAATATTTAAAATGCAATCAACTGACAGAAGCCAACTGATATCTTAAAAGAAAAATGTATACATTGGTATACATTTATGCATTAACACAAGACCTTACAGCACCCAATTCTAAAATCAATACAGAAGGGAATGTCTTCAAGAAAAGCCCCCAGAGCATCCTTAGCACAATATTTGGCTTTTGTTGTATTCATAAAGGTCTTTACAAGTCCACTCAAACTAGGTACAATACAAGTGGGTCAGTCCACCAGGGTTAGCCTAGCAATAATGCTGAAAGCAAAACATAACAGGCCTCTCCTTCCTAGGTTACATTCCCAATAATTTGTCTGTATTTTTAGGAAGACCATGGCTTCAAAAAAAGTGAAAGGGTTGGTAGAACACTATTATTCTCCTCATCCCTGGAAGCACATCTCTTTTAAAGGCAAATAACAGGCCACTTACATTAGGACACACAGAGAGGGGGAGAAATTATGATTTGAAAATCAAAAACACTGCTACAGTGGTTGAGTGGTGTTCTCTTTCCATTTAACAATTTTAGGACAACTATAGAAAAGAGACATTGTGTAGGAAAGGCTGAAAAAAGTAGGCCAGTGTCTGCATTGTTTTCCCTTAGCTAGCTTATTCAGGTAGTCCACCATCAGCTGACAAGTTTACCAATGGTACCTTGGCCAGTAAAAGAAATAATCATAAAAAATAAATGAATAAATGAAAACCTCTTCCTGGGTAGAAATACATCTTAAAGTCAAGTTTACAATATCTGCAAAGATGGTGCAGTGCTTTAGAGAAATAAACATATAGGATTAGGCTGTTATTGCTCCGAGGCATATACTAGATGCTTATGTCTGTTTTTGTTTGAACATTGCTGAGCAGTTACAGTTCATTGTGTCTGTTTGTTTCACAGACGTGAGATGCATGTTTTTTTCACTGCCACGTGTCAGCAAGTTCATCTGCCAGTCTGCATCTAATCTCCATCACCAGCGGTCTAATTTCTTAACCGCTTATTTTTCAATCCGTGAACGTTCTCACTTCGTGCCAGCAATTTCAACCCAAAAACCTAGGGAATATACATTACAGACAGGAGAGATTAGGAGTGGAATAAAAAAGAAGGTGAAAAAAACAGGAGAGCAAGCAGATAACGGAATGGAGATGATTTGTCAGCATGTGTCTTTATGTGTTTGCCTCTATTGCATTTCTCTTAAAGACACCACTCTCAACTGGGCAGCAAATTGGGGTCAGAGCAAAAAGAAGAACGTTGAGGACATAACTGATTTGGAAAAAAAGGGGGTTGCAAAGGGAAAGTATAAAAGAGACACCAGAAAGAAGACTGTGCGTGTGTGGTGAGTAGAACAGGGTCAGGAAAGAAACAGAAGACTGAGTAAAGTAGACAACATGGCTGCCTGTAGGCCGTCATTGGCCACATTGCCTTAAAGAGACCAGCGAAAAGTAGAGAAGAGGGGGAAGAAAATGTGACACTACAAACATAAGAAAAACAGGATGAAAAAATGTCATAAGGTTAGTGATAAATAGAACTGATAAAAGACAAGGTCCTCTGTTTTAAAACACAATATTGAGAGCATGTTCTCCTAGACGTTCACATATTAACATCATAGAACTGAAGTCCTTAATTTAGCCTGTTGACAACTGAATTATGAGTCAAACAGAGAGTTCCTGTATGCAGCCAGATGCAAGGCGCCGCTCACTTCTCCACAAACTCAATCTAATAAGCTTCTATCATATTAGCTATATTAGGAAGGCTAAAGAAAACACTTTAACCTCCAAATTCCATTTACACCCATCCGCATGATTTCAATTTGGAACCATAATGGAGCACAGTCTTGATGGAAATGAAAAAAAAAAAAGTAATTTGTAAACCTGGAAGAAGATACATGTGATATTCCTTTATGAAAGTAGCCAGTGAACTAGATACTGCAAACTAATTCTGTCCAAGATATATCTCCAA